GGCCGAGACTGCTTGGGTTTCCATCACAGGAGTGACGGCAAGTCGCCTGTGACGAGTGTGAGACTCGAGTTGTCACGTGTGAGCTCCAGCCAAGTGCACACGTACATCTGCTTGTTTCCGTCAGAGTATTTTACTGAGTGAGATGCCAGCCAAGGAGCTGGTGTGTGTTGATTTGTTTCCCAATGACCAGTCTTCTGGTTGTCTAGCAACTTAGAGCAACATGACTGACAGATAGCTACTGTGATTATTTACAGTGTGGCTAAAATAAACACCATTGTGGGTTAAGACCACTTATTTCATGATTCTTAGGGGAGGGAGCTCCCCAGACAACTGAGGTGGTAACAAACACCGTGAGTGGAATGTTGAATGGGAGGTGTTACCGCATGCCACACCGTTACACCACAGGTCTTATTAGGGGTTAATGCCTATAGGTGAGACAGGTGCCAGGTGGAGCAGCTCTGGTGGGATGTGCCACAGCGTGGGCTTCCCATTTTAGTTGCACTCTGTGTTAGGATGGTGGCCTCGCAATAGTCACTGCTGTGCGTCTGCGGTACTTACACATTCATTTCCATAGCGGTTGAGGTACCGGTGGTGGTGTTTTGGGCATTAATGCATACGGAGTCTCTTGGGATATAGTTGTTGTTTGGTGTGGCATGTGCTTGTTGTTATTTTCTTTTTCTGTGTTTACTTGACAGAGAGGGAAAGTGTGAATCCGTGTTCCCATCTGTTCATTTATTCCTAAGATACACATTAAGATCGGGGCTGGGCCAGGGCTAAAACTGGGATCCAGCAGTACAGCCCACGTCTCCTTGGTGGGAGGCAGGGACCCAGCTTCTGGAATCGTTGCATGTAACTGGAGTCAGCAGCCAGAGCCAGGGTTCAAGCCCGGGCACCCCAATGTGGGAGGCTCAACACCTGTTCCCTGTTTGTTTGAATTTTATAAATTTGAGGTGAGATTCACATTTATGGAAATCCACCTGTTTCAGATCCAGTGTGACAAGTCTATACCATGTTGGATTATCATTGCAGTTTAAATACAGGACATTGCCAGTGTCCAGAAAAGGTTCCTTTTCCCCTTCCCAGCAGCTCTGATTGCCATGCCCACGTCCACAGCCATCCTCAGGTAACAAGTGATCTGCATTCTCCCCCCATCAGTGGTTAGATTGGTCCCAAATACCTCAGGCCAAGGGGGCCATAGGAAAGGATTTTTAGACAATTTCAGTATCCAGGTACTCATTGCTAGTTCACAGAAGTACGCTGCCTTTTGTCTCCTAAGTCCTTGCTAACCTCACTTCGTTCTTGTGTTGTTAGTGGACTCTTGTGTCACATGTCCTGAGGGGAAACAAAGCTGTATCCCCGTTCATGAGAAGGACTCCACTTCACCAGCGCGGTGGTTGATCCAAAAGGGTTGCATTTCTGCGACTATAATGCCTTTGGCCATTGGTTCCTTCTAAGATCCCAAATGGTATTTAAATAACCTGAAGTCTTAGAGGAAGATAATATACTCAGTGAGGAACAGAAATATCAAGATTACTTAGGATTTCATGAACCTTGGGGAGGTGGTGACTGCTTTCATCAAAACTGTCCCTGACTGGACTGCAAACGTTGCAGTTTTTTTTCCATGCTTAATGTAGTCCATGTCACAGCCATCTCTTATAACCGCCGGTCTTGAGTTTTATCTCTTGTTCCCCTTTGCTGGCTGGTGCTTGTGGAATGTTCCTTGGGAAGGAATTTGCATACTGTTTTGTAGCATGTGCTAATCGGCATACCCTGTTTGCCTGGACTGGCACCAGGCACCACGGATACAGCTGGAGTAAGGCAGACACAGGAATACCCTGTCTTCACTGAAGCTGGTGCCTGACAAGACATGAAGGCACTGAGTAAGGAGCTCACGTGATTGCAACTGTGCCAAGCACTAAGTGGTAAGAGTTTACAAAGGAGGGATTGGAAGGGGCCATCCCTAAAAAAGAAGCATTGTGCTAGCTGCGCTCTGGTAGCTGAGTGCAAAGCTTTGGGTAAGCATGGTCCTGGGCAGTGTGTTTACGCCCCACCTATCAGCCCATTGCCTGAGTCTTTCATCTTGGCTGGCATTTCCATCCTGTCTTCATGATCATTGGTAGAGTGAAGACAAGCCTGGTGAATTAGTTTCTTTTCCTTATGTCTTCGTCCCTGTGGATTGCGATAACAAAATGTCACAGGCTAGGTAATTTATAAAGAATTGGTGTTTGCTTATTGCAGTTCTGGAAGCTGGGAAGTCGAGTGTGAAGGTGCCAGCATCTAGCACAGATGTGCTTGCTGCATGGAAGGTGGAAGGGCAAGAGTGGCAGGGAGAGAGAGGGGGAGAAGGGCAGGGGACCAAGCTCAGCGAGGAACCCCCTGCCTTGCTGACTCTCCTGTTCCCATTGTTAATGGTCACGACCTCACCGCCTCTTAAAGGTTCAACCCTCAGCGCTGTGACCTAGAGGACTAAACCTACAAGTGCTTGAGCCATTGTGGGTGCGTGTACACCAAGCCCCCTTAGGTGTGTGTCAGATACTTCTGCAGTTCTGCAGTTCTGCAGTCATGGTCACTGGGAGAGAGAGAAAGAGAGCGAGAGAGAGAGAGAGAGAGAGAGAGAGAGAGAGAGAGAAAGGGAAAGAGAGAGAAAAAGAGAAAGACAGAGACACTCCTGAATTGACCACAACAGCCAGAATGGGCTGGTCTGAATCCAGCAGCCAGGAACTTCCTCCAGGCCTCCTACGTGGGTGGGCATCCCAAGCACTTGGGCCACCCTCTGCTGCTTTCCCATTAACAGGGAGCTCGATTAGAAGTGGAACAGTAGGACATGAAGGAGTGCCTGTATGGCATGCCAGCACCACAGGTGCAGCTTTTTTGGCTCTGCCACAGTGCTAATCCCAATTCTGATACTTCTCACAGCCAGAATGTTATTATCTTGTGCAGGGGTGATCGTGGGGTGGGGAGGAGATCTGAGCAGGTGCTTGCCATGTGCACTTAGCTTACCATGTGGCTTCAAATCATAGTAACTGTAATGATTGTAGATGTTTGGGGAAATTATGTATTTTTAAAAATTTTTAAATTTTTATTTATTTGAAAGGCACAGACACACACACACACATACACACACACACAACATACTACACATATTTATCCTCTGGTTTACTCCCAAAATGCTGATAACAGCTCGTGATCGGGCCAGGTCAAAGCCAGGAGCCAAGGACTCAATCGGGGTGTCCCATGAGCGTCAGAGACCCAGTTGCCTGAGCCATGGCCTGCTGCCTCTCAGGGCGTGCACTGGGAGGAAGCTGGCGTGGAGGGCAGAGTTAGGATTTGAACCCCTGACGTTCTGATATGGGATCCAGACATCCCAAGTGCTGTCATAGCTGCTGTGACAATGCCTGTCCCACGGTGACATGCGTCTCCTTGATCCTCTTGGTCTTGAACACCGTGGACCTGAGCAAGCCGCGAAGCGCTGTGTGAAGAGATACAGGAGGAAAGTGCACGTGCCTTGCTCTCATCAGTTTGCATCCACACTCCAGCTTTGCTCATCGCCAAGCATTACATTCACAAGAAACTATTTCAGAACATTGCTGCAGTCGCTAGTAGGTGTGACAGCAGGATGTTTTTCTATGAGCATCTGACTTCCAGTGGGCGGGCAGTCAAGTTCAAGGACTCGGCTCGGTTGCAGGTGTCCCAGTGCTCTCATGGTAGTTCTTGGTGCTCGCAGAGTGCGATTAAAAACCAGCCATGGGTTTCCAGTTTTCCGTCCAATAGACTTTTTTCTTGCAACCGTTTGAAGCATCCTCTTGCACAGACCTCTTGAAGCATCCTCCTAGTGTGAATGCTTTGCACGAACCTTCTTGGCAGCACTGCTGTGGTGTGTGGGCCCGTGTCTCACTCCTCTCTCCACTGTGTCGGAGACTGGATGGATATTCCCGTTCTTCTCATTCCTCACTTCAGAAAATGGTGGCTGGGGAATACACAGCCATTTGGGGAGTGAACCTGCGAAGGATCTCTCTCTCCTTTCCCCCCAAAAAGAAACAGCTCTGCCTTTTTGCCTTTAAAAAAAAAAGATTTATCTATTTCCCTTGAAAGGCAGAGTTACGGAGCGAGACAAGGAGAGGGAGAGATCATCCATCTGCTGGTTCGCTCCCCAGATGTTACGATAGTCGGAGCCAGGAGTGTCTTCAGGATCTCCCGTGTGGTTACAGGGGCCCAAGGCTTTGATGGTAACTTTCTGCAGAGTCCTGAGTTGGCATATGATGTGGTATGACAAGGGCACTTTGGAAGATGACCAGGCTGGCTTTTACATATACATATAATATAATATATAATATATATAAGTATAATATGTACGTAAAAATATGTGTATATATATATTTGAAGAGCAGCAGAGGGAGAGAGAAGAAGAGAGGAGTGAGGTGCTCACAGAAAGATCAAATAAGATGGAGAGCTTCCATTCACTGGGTCATTTCCTAAATGGCTGCCAATAGCTAAGGTTGGGCCAGGTGGAAGACAGAAGCCAGGCTTTCCATGCTGGTCTCCCATCTGGATGTCAGGGACCCAAGTACTCGAGCCACTACCTGCTGCCTTCCAAATCAGACGTTAGTACGGAGTTGGATCAGACACAGAGCGGCTGGGGCTTGGGACTGATCTTCCCGATGGTGGACTCACCTGCTTGGCTACAACACCCTGAACTTGCTTGTCTAGCAGACCTGCTTGTAAAAGGAACCCACTTGCCCAGTGCCCCATCAGTTCATCAGTTCATGACTTAATCCATTCATGAGAGCAGAGTCCTTTTGACCCGATTACCAATACCTCCGTGTCAACATCTGAATTCTGGGGAGTGAACTTAGCACCTAGCATGCTTGTTACCACATTGTGTATTGATTGCATTAATTGAACTTTTATTGGCTTGTGCATTGGGAAGTATTTACATGACCAAGAGGGCGTCATAAACGAAAGCTGCCATCACCTACTGAACCCTTTTGCTGCTGACACAGGAAATCCGGGCTCCTCTGATGAAGTGGCTCGAGCGGTGCGTGGATCCTGACGGAGTAATCAAGTCCAGCAAGGTCTCCCTTAAGTTCGTTTCATCCTGTGCACCTGACATGGAGATATCCCCATCTTCCATACCCGTGGTCACTGACGCGGAGGCCTTCTCGTCAGAACATTTTGACCTGGAAGTCTACCGGGAACACCTGCAGACTCGGCAGCTCGGAAGGACGGTGCTGTTCGCCGAAGTGACCCCGACGACCATGAGCCTGCTGGACGGGTGAGTGCTCACTGGGCCTGGAGGACGCCTGCTCTGAGGACTCATGGATACTGCTACTTCTCGGGGAGGAGGGTAGGATAATTTTTCTTAGCACAACTGCTGGTGCTGTGCAAGTTCTCCTGTCCTAGCAGAGTTCAAGTGTTAGGAAGAGTTCTTTGGCCGAATGTTCATGTGTCACACGCAGAACAGGAGACATTTTGCCTCATGTCATTGCTTTCTGTCATAAGCATGCCTTTCAGAAAGTCCTTGGGATATAAAGCATGTTCTGGAAGGCACAACATGTAGCAGGTGCCATCGTAACTCTGGTGATCATTGTATTGTTGCGCTGTTGGGACTCATGCTGAAGACTTAATTCAGGGTGTTTTGCAGTGAGGAGTGTTTAGAAAAGCAAATTTGAATGACACATAAGCTATGCTAATTGAGCACATTGGAGCTATGTTGTTTTTTTTTTTACCTGAACTGAACATACTTTGTGAAAATGTTTGAAGTTGACTCTTACTGCAAGTTTTGCCTTTTCGTTCAGTTTTGTGGGGTTTGGTTAAAAGTTAACAATGAAAAATGGATAAAAGGAAGTTCATTTCTCTAATGAGTAAGAATATTACCTATTTTAGTTTGAGAAATTGAGCAATAAGAATAAGGAAAGCATCGTGTCTCAATGTGGGAAAAGAACATAAGGTAAGAAGATGTGCAAATAGCGCATTCTCACAGGTGGAACATTTGTGACCGACTGGTCTCAGACCCTGTGATAATCCCGGGTCCGCAGAGTGAAGAAGACGTGCTCGTGGGAAAGGGTTAGGGTTAGGGACAGCTTCTGCATTAGTGGTCGAGCATGTCATTTCACAGGAGCCTTTGGGACGTGAAGGCATGCAGCCCTCCCTGACCGTGTTCGTTGTTCATGTGGACAGTGGAGAGAGGCAGGTGATGTCGGGGTGGCCGAGAAGCCCTGGCAGCTTGGTCAGGGGGTCTTGGCTGTGGACAGTGCCTGGTGAGAGAGCAGCAGGTGAGCTGCTGGAGCACTGCATACCAGGCTCCTGGGCATCCTCAGGGGACCGGGCTCCACTGCATACTTTCCAGCCAGTGTTTTAGAGCTTGTTGGTCCACTGCTTTCATATTCCTGAATGTAAATGAGAGTTTAAGGTGTATTGAATTGTAGAAAAAAGTCCTGCCTTCACGCACATTGGGTGTATAGGAGCTGTGCATTGAAGCTGGGCAGCTGAGCTGTAGGGTTGGTTGGTTTGTTTACAAAAGGCATTTAGGAATCTGCTTTGCTTCCTTGTTGTTGCTCTTCTCTGGGGTTCGCAGTGCACAGCGCTGCCTGCGTGCGGGGTCGGTGAGCTTGGGGAGCAGTGCGTGGAAGGCTGTGTGCGTTTGGAGAAATGTGTTTGGTGAAATCACTTTGGTGTCCGAAGGAATCATGGTTGTTTGCAGAGACTGCGAGGTGGGTGGGTGAAGTACGTGGATTCTCGTACTCTGAGAATAAGCCCGAAGCTGTTTCTAGAACACTCACGTTACTGGCGTCTGGTCCCACTTGTCCTGTCCTTACCAAAGCCCCGTTTGCTGTTGCTAAGTGTCACAGCTGACTATGGAGGAGGTTCCTCTTGCAGATGCAGAGTTAGGGCTGCACACAGGTCTGCCAGTCCCACACGTCGTCACTTCCTGCGTCAGGGTCTTCAGTGCTTGCGTCACACTGGTGATTTGCGTCAGGCAAATGCTTGCATCACACCGGTGTGTGGACCACCAGGAAGGGGGCTTGCCGTGCCTGGTTTCTGAATATTCACACAAAAAATTAGGTGGTGGTTGGTTCTTTCTTTCTTTCTTTCTTTCTTTGATGGACCAACTAAACAGACAAGAAGGATTTTTGAAATCATGGACAAAATCCATTCCATTTCTAGTTTTAAATGTATTTATTTGTTGAATTTAAGGATTGATTCATTTTCATTTGAAGAGCAAATTCACAAAAGACAGAGAGAGAGCTCTCTCATTTGCTGGTTTATTCCGCAAATGGTCATTATGGCTAGAACAAAGCCGATCTGATGGGAGGAGCCAGGGGCTTCTTCCAGGTCTCCCACACGGGTACAGGGACCACGTGGGCCAGCCTTTCCTGCTTTGCTAGGCCATAAATAAGCTGGATTGGAAGTGAAGCAGCCAAGACAAGAACTAGCACCCATGTGGGATGCTGGCACTGCAGGCAGAGTAGGTCCTTATTTGTTGCATTTGAGAGAGAGAGAGAGAGATTGGTTTGAGGCAAAGAGCTCTCTCCTATACTGGCTTCCAGATACCCACAGTGACTGGGGCAGGCTGGACTGAAGCAGAGAGCTGGGAACTCCATCCAGGACTCCCAGGTTATGAGGGAGCCATTACCTGCTGCTTTTCAGGGTGCCAGGAGCCGGAAGCTGCAGTGGAGAGCAGGGCTGGCACTCCGAGCCAGGCACATTGACCTGTGGCTCAGCTGCTGTGCTCAGCGCCCACCTCTCCCAGCCTCTCTTCATATGTATTGTCCTGTGGACATCGAGCTGCTCTTTCCTGAAGAATTGGGGTGCAAGTGAAATTGAGCTTAAATATAGGCCTTTCTTAAAAGGATTCTTAAATCCTTTCTCTCTCTCTCCCTCCCTCCCCCGCTCTTTTTCTCTGTGTGTGTGTGTTCCCGCCCGATATAAAAAGGGGACTTATTTTAGCTCATATTGGGAGCCCAGATCCTAAGGGACAAGAAGTGATGTAGTGGGGTCAACCAGCTGTCTCATAATTTGTGTTAAAACAGCCATGTTTCCTGCACCCAGCATGTGCACATAGCATGCCACTGTGGTAGAGAGGCACTGTGGAGGTGTGTTCTCTGGTCATCCAGCAGGCAGTCCAGGTGCTACCCCTCTAGGAAGGATGCTCTCATGTGTTATCCTGTAGGGTCCTTGCTTTGTCATTGGAGTGCGTATTCCAAGGTGGGCGCTGGAGGGGATGGACTTCTGACACCTGTTTGCTACCAGCCAACCTGATCACTTCTGAGATTATATCTGGAAAGAGCATTTCGGTTTCAAAGCCTCATTCTTTAGGGCTTCAGCTCTCTGCAATTCCCTCCCTCTTGGGCCGAGGCTGGGGTGCAATGCCAGTCTCTCAGCCAGGTCCCTGGAGCTCTGTGGGATGTACCATGTGCTTTAATTCCTGCTGGGGCTGAACTGTATCGCCCTGTGGCTCCAGCTCAACTGGCCAGTAATGGACAGAGTTTCTTTTTTGGGAACTCTAGTTTTCTTTCTGCCTTCTGGAAAGTTCTCTGTGAAAGCCTCTTCACTCTTTATTGAAGTCAAGTGTTAATCCCTGGGCAATGTTTATTCTTGGTTATGGGGCACGTTATTGCTATTCCGTGTATGTGTGTGATGATCAGATCAAGGTAATCCACTTTTCCAGCTGCTTAGGTGGTATCATTTGGGGGTGTATAGTAAATTGCAGTAGTAATTTCCACATGAAACATCTGGGTTGCTTTCCACACACAAATTGTCTTTTGTGACTTGTTAGCCAAAGGGCCCATTTCTGCTTTGTTGAACTTTGCTAAGAATGTCAAGAAGGTCTGATGAGTGTGGGCATTTGGTTTTTCAGAAGCATGCCACATAATAATAATAATAATAATAATAATAATAATAATAATAGTACAGGTTGGGACAGGCAGACACCTGGTCTACCTCCCAAGGTGCAGAAGGCCCCAGGTGCTCTCCACTGCCTGACTGTGGTCACCTGTGAAGCTGCTGGGCCCTGGCCCTTGCCAGCTGCCCGCTGTCCAGTGCCTCCTTGTTAGGCTGTGTCTTGAGTCCCTGGTGGGAGTGTGCAGGGATAGAAGATTGAGCACACCTCGCCCAAGCACCTGTTTGGAGGATTGGATACCTGTCAGATAGGATTAGGTTCAGATGGATGAGACACATACCCCCACACGGAAGGGGCTTCAACCTTGACATTCGCCTCTCTCACCTGCATGTGAGACAGCTGAGGTGGAACAGTGCCAAGGACTTCGCTGTATTGCTGTACACCCTGAGCTAGGGTCCAGGGCGACCCTCCTGTGTGAGCCAGTGAGCGGAAGATGGGAGCACGATAGCTGATCTCCCATCTTGGGGTACTCTTCTGGAAAGTCCTACATGAGCCTGTGTGTCTGTCTTCTGGCCAGCACCTTGTCACATCTACCTGCAGAAGCAGGCTAGGAAGTAAATGTGGTCTGATGTTCGGCTTCCATGGAGCCAGCTGGAACAGTCAGGTTTCCCGGAGAAGATTGCGAGGTGAGCATTGGGCACAATGACAAAACGTCATGGGCCAGCACCTTCAGTTATTCAGAGAACTAAGAACAGTCACCGGAGTCTCCAGTTAGTGTCAAGGCCTGCGCAACTCCGCATCAGGCCTGAGGAGAGGCACCTGCTGTGGTGCTGGCTTTGTTTCAATCCTGTACTCGCAGTCATTGAGGGATTTGTTCTTAGGATGTGGTAGGTTTTGGGGGATTTAGAAATCTGTCTTCTGACAAGTGTCTTGGTGCTTCTCTGTCTGTGAAGCCGGCTGATGCAGAGACTGCTAACTCTTGCTTGGGTCCTAGAGTGCATGCAACAGCAGGAACATCTTCTTGAAGCTGTGAACCCTCAGGCCCCTTAGCTGTCTCAAGGAGACGGGGGTCAGGGAATCGGGGGCGTTGTGGGGGTGCTTGCTGCCCACAGTCAGGGCTTCTCTTCCAACATGGAAGCTGTGTGTGCTGGCACCCTGGCCCCCAGCGGTCTGGCTTGGCCTTGCCCCTCCGATTGACCCCATGCCCGCTGTCTTCTCCAGCAGATCTTCTCACCCGGAGATGCTCTTGTATTCAAGGGAGCAACTTCCAGGTGCTGGAGTCTGTGGCTGGTCTCCTTCAACTTCAGGCTGGCTTCTCTTTCTGTTTCCTGGGGGATGGCCCTGTGTCAGGTTAGCTCAGCTGGTTGGGTGGAGTGCCAGGAGCACAGATGGGCTCAGCCCTGAGTCTGGCCCGTGAACTTGACTGTGTTCTG